ACGTTACACGGCCACGCACATACCATGCATTGTTCCGTTCGAATTCCGTGGCCCACTGTCACCCGACAGATGCGACGTACATACGCGCGTGGTGAAACGAAAGTAAGAGGAGAGTAGGTTGGCACCACTTGGCCGATATCGGCCACGTCACGCGATCGAGATCGATAGCGCTTAGGGAGAAAAATCACGAAGTTATTTCGGCCCCCGAGAGATAAACTAGGCTGGCCGCGAGGTCTGACCATAATCGTCTTAATCTACTTGACGCGCTCGTTTGCCGCGCAACGCATGATTGCTTGGATTTCTTTCGTTTCTTTCCCAGTCCCCCCACCCCTCGAAGCGTTTCAAGCTACTGTTCTTGAAGTCGAGTTTGGAATTCGTGCTGCCGCATTCCAGCAAATGACAAGAAAAATGAAACATGGAAATCGAGTGTTCGTGCGAAGTGAGAAATGAGTTGGAACCATCAATAATGGGATTTAGATTTTAATTTTTAATATTCGAAGAACTAGCGGTGACAATTCTTTAAATTAATATGGAAGTAAATTATACAGATATATATATATATATATATATATATATATATATATATATAAATTTAAAAATATAAAATCTACGTGCGTAGGTTGAAATTTTACGTGGAAGAAGAATCTCTGAATTGCAGCGAATTTACTCAAATGTCAAAGAATTGTCGCTTAAATCTTTGATTTTTACAGATAATTAAAAAAGCAACAGTGGCGAAGAATTCAAAACAAAGTGAAAAAAAGAAAAGAGTAGACAATATATCAAGTAATGTAAAATATAAACAATTTATAAAGAATTATAAAACCTTCGATCTTGGAAAATATTAATTCAAAGATTGGTGCGTACAACTCAATTAGCTCAACTTACTGTCTGTTTAACATTGGGTTGTTAGAAAATAGAAAAATATTTGTTTCAGTAAGAAATAGTATAGATCATTCCATATAAACTTGTGATAGAAGGTTTAAAGAGAAGATTTAAAGTCTTTGTATCATAATTTTGTTGTAGTTGATCATCTTCATTTGTAAGTATACATTATTTTGTGCAAACATCATTTTGTTCGATGTAAATCTATTTTGAAGTGATGGAAATGTTTCCCAATGTGTCAGATCGCGCGAATCGTAAAAATTATATCCATGTGCGCCATCAGGGGCCTCGTTTGCAGAGAATTGCAAGTTATTCGGTTGAAAATTTCGTGAAATAGTCGCCTGCTTTATCGACGTCACGGGAAAATGGGAAAAAATTTGTACCGACGAAACAACCCCTTCGACAAGATTGCTTCAAATTTAATAATTTATATTAATTTCTAACGCTTTATGCTTCATTAACAAATTGACATAAAAAGTAAAACTTATACATAAAAAAAATTCTACAGTCACCTACAATAAAAGAATTGAAATTGTGATTATAAATATTATTGTGCATGTTACAATGCACAATGTTACATTTATACATCAATGATTATATTCTCTTCAAATTGTTACTGTAAAATTATTCTCGATATTGTACCACTTTTCAAACGTTACGCTTAAAAAAACTGCAATAAAATACTAGGGACAAATTTCATCCTGACAGATTCACCAACAGATGTCGCCCATGTTCAGTCTAGTGACTTTATACGACACGGTCGATAACCGAAATCAGAAAATTTACTTCCTTACCAACGAAAGATATAGTGACAAATTTTCTGCAATCTTCAAACATCTTAAACATTGCAAGATTTTTAATTCAAATGTATCCAATTCTCATGAATTCACTAAACAAGCAATCAACCAAATTTAAAACAATCGAGCCATGAGAATTTTTTCACAATTGCACAAAAAAATACCATATTTTTATAACATTTTACTCTCATTTGATCATCCTTCTCTTCATCCATCAATATTTACAAGAGATGCGTCATCGGTACTTCAAAGTAAAAATTGCCAGAGCGTATCACGGAAAATCGTCGAAACCACCCCCTTTCGGGCAAAATATTCACCGATAGATGTCACCAGCATGTCGAGACAGCGCTAACTAGTGGGAATTGCGGCGACTGGTTTCTCCCGCTTGGTTTCGTAGAGGCACGATCGAGAGAGAGAGAGAAAGAGAGAGAGGGAGGGAGGGAGGGAGGGAGAGAGAGAGAAAGAGAGAGAGAGAGAGAGAGAGAGAACCATATTCCCCGGAAAATCTGTGACGGCGGAAAAGCGTCGATGGGGGACCCGTCGAAAGGGGGCGGGGTTTTGGTATGCGGCGTGTTTGCACCACGGAAGAAGTGGGAAAAAGGCCGAGTGGCTCGCGCCTGCTCCGCTTTTTTCCTCTCTGTCGCACCGTCTCGCTTCGGCCCGCAGCTAGGCGGAGTTTAAAAAAAGATTTCGCGCTGCGTGAAGGGGAGAGGTGGAGCCACGGACGCGCGGAATTCCGGAATTTCACGAGTCCTCGCGGTGGTGGCGGCGGCAGCGGCGGGGGTGGAAGACGAGAGACAGTGTCGCGAACGTTTCGGGAAGGGATGAAGGGGAAATCGGTATATATCGTTCGTGTGAGTTTCACGCGACGCCTGGCGGGTAAGGGGAGGATGCGCGCAGGGAAAGTGGCGAAGGGGAAACTCGCCTGCTCCGGGCAGACCGATCGAGCTCGACAACAGCCAGTTCAACGCGTGCCAACCCTCTTTCGAGATGCTGTCTTCTCGTGTCGTGAGTAAATCGCGCGCCGGTGTTCCCGTTTTCATTCGTCCCCGAAGTCTTCGGAGCCGATGACAGAATTCGAATCACGGTGATTTCTTCCATCGGTACGATCGCGCGAGATGTAAATACTGTTTGTTTCACGAGGCGAAGAATACTGTGTGTATAATGACGTGACGTTTTTGGAGTGGTCAGTGGAGTTGGTTAACGAATTTGAATTAGGTTTCTCTCGTTCGCCGAGAGAACGTGCGAACAGCGACCGAATGATCGTTTCGCGAGTCATCTGAGAAGGGATGCTGTGTCGAGGCAGAAGTTCGTATACGACGTACGGACGGCTCGTTGCGCTCAAGATCGTTCAAAGTTTCTTGGTTCGTATAATTATATCTATCTGTCATGTACCCTCAAAGTGCCGCGGAAAGATATACGCGTTAGGAGCGAATGGTTACCGGGCGAGTAGCGGCGCGATTTTAAGTTTATTTGGGACGTATATCAGGAATCACGTGGTCGAGTGATGCGAATAATGGTCGACTAACGACTCGCTCTTTTGAAGTTTACGATTCGATGGTGAATGTTCAGTCAATAAATGTTTATCAGGAACACCATATCTTTGATGTAGAGTCTATTTTCGTTTGGATTTGTACACGCGGTGCTAGAGACTCGAAACTGTCCACCGGAAATTTACAATGCTGTGCCGACGCATGTATACGCAAAAATATAAGGGAAGATATACTATTAGACACGACGGTGAGTGGCTTTTAAAGGGAATAGAGCAACTCGTGTCGTTGATTAAAGATCGTTCAGGAAAAACGATTACCAAGTGTGTAAATAATTTTTCACTCCGTTCGAATCCAAGTTTTCTTACCAGAAACTTACTTACGAGACTAACGACGCGTTATCGTCGTACAGCTGAAAGTGCTTGTGTGTACCTTAGCACCAGAAGTGATAACCGCGTCGTTAGCTGCAGAACGAGTCGCGTGACAAATACACGCAGCCGCGCAACGATAACGACGATACGATAAGAAATGTTCTCCAACGATCAACTTATAATTTTGATACCCTACGTGGCGGACGTCACCAAGTTTCTAGCAATAACCTTGACAAAGTGATTCGTAGATCGACCGAATCGTCAACCTGTCCCGACACCACCAAAGGCATTCCAAAACCACTTGTTCCTTCATACTCTTTTTTTTTTTTCTTTTCTCCTCTGCGTCGTTCATTTTATCAAAATACGCCTCCACTAGCAAAGTGAACGAACGCTCTGCCTGAAAAAAAGTAAAAATTTATCGCGATCGATATTACCAACCCTCGAGCCATAATCCCTGATCGACGCAGATCATCGACACTTGCGATTTTCCTTCGAAAATCACGATGCTTTTCCTTCGGCCAGAAAGTGTATAGTCGCAGCGTGAAGAGCGCGTGACGCGTGCTGGCTACATCACAAAGTCCTTCTGCTCCCCACCACCACGCGGCATTTCTTGCGCATCCCCTCCACGACCGATGTTTCACCACCCCTACCAGGAACACCGACACAGGGTGAACACAGGGACGAGGACAGACGACCGTTGTCCGCACGAGACCGAGTGCAACGGGACACGTGCAGCGTCGGTGGGGGTGGAGGAGGAGCGATAAAACTGGAGGGGAAATGTAGCGACAGCACGACGAGAGGGGAAGTCGAGGACTCCCCACCAGTGGTTACCACTCCCCTTCTACCAACCAGGGGAGCGCGTTCTCTCCCACATAACGGCGCTAACCGACGGGACCTTTGTTGCCCGCCACGCTCGAACGGTGTCCCGCTCGAGAGTTTGGACGCTGGTGCCGCCCAGCGGTGATCGCCGGAACTTTCAAAACGCGGTGGTGGGGATTCGACGATCGGTAGGTGGGGGAATCGTGGCCGTTTGGTGGGAGCATGGAGCGTAAAGGAACCGGTGGGGATGAATGCAGAGAACGGAGTGAGTACGAGGACGGCGAGGGGGCATGTTGCTCTCAGGACGCGCAGACCGTCAGAGTGGGACGAAAAGGACGGGTGTCTCTCGCTCTCTCTCTCTCTCTCTCTTTCTCTCTTTCTTCGTTTCTTTCGATCATTTGTCTCTCTCTTGCTTGCTCCTCGTGGAGAGGCAGAGAAAGAGAGGCCGATGGCGGGGTGAGAGCCGGCTTACTACGCGGCGAAACGCTACCACGGCGTTCAGTCGTCAGCGATCAGACCGCCGGGCAGTGTGAACCTCCCTGGGCAGTCTTCATCTACTACACTCTTCCTCGGTCTGTCTCTTCTTCGACACGAAGTGGTGATCAGCATCTGGAAAAGCCGGAGTACAGCTTCCGAGATCAGATTCGTTCTGTGACGATCGTCGACCACCTCGGTGGTCTCGAGAAAACACCGCAAGCTACGAAACTATCCGAGAAGAATTTACGCCTTGCGAGTATCGAAAGAGAAGACGCATAATGGAACACGACCGAACCAATTCGAGAGAAGAGACTTGGAGTCGCCTGTCTCCTCGAACCTCTCTACTCTTCTGTCTCTGCTACCAAGATTCGTCACAGCCGGTGACAAACAGCCGAGGCCTTCGGTTGCTCGATAATCGTGCTCGAGGCTAACAGATGTTCGAAAAGATCTTGCTAAATAAACGAGCGTCGCGGTTGAAATTACCGCGAGGCGATCATCGCGGGAGCATTTAAAATCGCAAAGAATTCCAGACAACGTCGGATATCGAGAAGTTGCTGCGATAACACCCGAAGATGATACAGAAGACGTTGCTCCGAACTGGAAGATCACTCACGAAAGTCAACATTCGCCATGAAGTTTCGTTCCCTCTCGAAATCTCGAGAAGTCGACAAGTGAAAACCAAGGGGACGAAGGAAGAGAAATGAAAGTAAGATTGTTGCAGGATCTCGTTTGAACTCAGTCTCGCGTCCAGCCACGTGGTGCTCCGAATCGCGCGAACGATCCACGCTTGATAATCCTCGGCACGTATACGTTCACTTAGCGAAACCGCGGCCCGAAAATGGTGAAAACGGCGGAGGAATCGACGAGCACGAGGCGAACCGAGGCCGTCGCAGTTAGCACGACGATCGGCGAAGCCGTTTGAAAGTAGAATTTCTTTCGTCGGCTGGTACATGTGGTGCTGTTACGATCGTTACGTAACGAGCGTCGAACAACGAAAAACCGTTCACGGCTCGGCGAATCGAACGTTGAGATTCTTGCACCGAGAATCTCGTTAGTACACGGACTAGTGCCGGATAGTGTAAATCTGTCGGAGAAGATCTTTCGTTCACGACGAGAGAGAAGACGATACGAAGATGTGTGATTGTAAATTTTTGAATAGAGGTAAAAAAAATAAAATAAAATAAAATAAAACGGAAAGTAAATGATCGAGAAAAAGTGGGAGATGAGTAGCGGCGCACGATCGTTCGAATACGTCGATAACGTCGAGTAGTTGAAGAGTACCGAAGAGAAACGTTAACGCTTTACGGACGTGTTAGCAGCCGACGGCACTTTTTGCCAACAGATCGTCACGAGTCACCGATGTACAAGTGAGGTAAGAGCCAACACCGTAAATAAAGCCAATGAAAAGCCTTCACGAGATTTTCTATTCGATCGCGTACGATCGGTATTCGAACACGTTCCCTCGATTACTCCCTTTGTACCTGACGCAGCTTCCTGCTCGCTCCTCCCTCGCGCTTCTTTATGGTGAAGTGTAGATTCGAAAACGATATTCGATAAACGATCTTCTATGATATTCCACCTCTCCGGATTTCGAACCGGTGATGCCTTTCACGAGTGAGAAGTTCGAAAGTGAACGTATCCACGTAATTCACCATGGTTTGAATATTTACACGAGGTCGAACTGGCCACGCGTGTAGCTCGCTGTTTGTTAAATTATCGAAACAGGCCCAAGCACAGTTATTTTCACAGTGAAACTCCATTTGCGAAATTTAGTCAGCGCCTGATCAAACGTAACAACTGAATCTACTTACACGAACGTGAATTTCTACTCTACGAAAGATCATACGTAACCAATGATCAATCAACGATCATCTATCGGACAAACTACTCTACGAAGTTCTGCCTCATAGCTCAAACCCCTCTTCCAGTCGTTTAACCGTCTCTGTCCGAGCCTGCACACGCGATTTATCGTTGAAAGTCGTTCTCGCTCGGTTCGCAAAGGTGCCATTAACCAAAGTGACGCTGTCGAATCAAGGGATTCCCGCGAGTGACATATTCCTTCGTGGTTTCCAGCCTCGATCTTCTTCGATGAACTCGAACCTCCAAGTACTGGGTAAATTTGTTCGAACGAACACCGAGCGAAGTTCCAAGTTCTCGATGAAGTTATCCGGTGATCGGTACGCTGGACAGGGGCAAACAGTTTCCCGACCGATCGTCCACAGGATAGATCCACCTGTTAGGCAAACAGGCTGACCGCAAATCTGTAGCTCGAGAAGAGAGAGAGAGAGAGAGAGCTCCACCTGTAGAGCGATGGTGTGTGTCTCGCGTGTCGAAAAATTTCCTCGTATTCGGACGAAAAGAGGAGCACGTGTTCAGGTAACCGCGCCCTCGGGATCGCATTGTATCCACGAAAATAGCGACAGAGTCCTTCTTCTCTCTTTCTCTTCCTCTCGACGGTTCGTGTGGCCTTTTAATCCCGCGTTCGACAGACTCGGCAAGTCAAGTGCTCCATTCAGCTTTTCGGCCACCTCGAGAGAAAATCGAGGTAGAGTATTATCCTGTGACGCGTGCGGCTACCTGTTCAAAGATTCTGGAAAGTTTCGTGGCACTTCTCCGTGTCAGTCGGTTACAGGTACTGTGTACCTGGGTATATTCCGTTGGTTTCATGGTGTTTTGGAAACTGTAAAGGATTTCGGGATTGGAGGATAATGTGGTTTAGATAAATTTGGAGGAGAATAGGCTTTCGGATGCTCGATAAATTCTAAAAACCCCAAGTGCCACCGAGTTGAATCAGGCAAAGTGATTTCCGAGCTCGAGTATTTAATCATGTCAACGTTAACGAATCAAGTGTCACGGTTTTAGCTTTCTTAAGCTCGGCAACAAAAGAGGAATTCAAGTTGGTACAAAGCGCGTCCGATTGCATTAATAGATCTCGGCGTTGGAGATTTATTTCGTTGCGAAACTTTGAACATGTTCGTCGACGTATTCGCCGGCAATTAATTTTATTTTTAGCCCGGTCTAATTTGCTTCCAAGTCGCGGCCGCATCTTCGATATCGTGACATATCGTCGAAAGTGCGGCAGCTAGTCACTGACAAACTTAAAATACTCATCAAGCTACAAACGATTTCGTACGAACGTCGGAAACAAAAACTGTAATTTACTCTTCAGAATGTTTATCTCCCGAACTTCATAACCCGGGAAACTTCGTTCGCTTTCGTAATTGCAACCGCGCTTGCAACGTGTCAATCAAAAATTTATTTCTTACTTACGTGTTGCAAACAAAAAACGTATCTTTCTCGACGAAGGTGAAAGAGTCCTCGCGGTTTAAGGATAAAATAAAACCTTTGAGCGACAACTAACTGGATCACGAATTTTGTTACTGAGGTTTTTTGTTTCGCCGAGACATCTGAGGAAATGAATTTCATTTTATTTTGTTGTAACAAGCATTTGACTTTTTCTAACTTTTATACTTTTGCACACTGCTCTTGTAGATTTTCGTATTTCTAACATTTTCGCGGACAAGTCTGTAAATATTATCACTTGAAACGTGAATATCCGTATAATAACAGTAATATTAATTTAACGTGTCTGAAAATTTCGAAATATCCTCGATAGGGGAGTAAACATCCCCCCCCCCTCACCCTCCTGTACGTACGCAGTCTACTGACGATAGCTATTCGCTAATTATTCCACAATAATCAACACCAAAACACTCTAGAATTCGTCGTGGAAATTTCGTTCAGCAAAACTCATATCCAAATTCCGTTTCTCGATCCACGCGGAAGACCACCACCAAGTCGAACGAGGAAACTAGCAGCAGGGGAAGAACTCGAAGTTCCGATCGTTCGTCGAAGGGTCGAGGGGGGGTGGGGATACTATCAAGAAGAGTATTAATCACACGCGATCAAGTCGTTAGAGACGGATATCGCGGCAATATTTTACCGCGTCACGAGGCTAGCGCAACAGCCTCTCTCAGCGTACGCACGATTTTTTATCGTTCTTGTCGCCGGGACACAAAACCAGCCAGCTTCTATAATTCATCGCGGTTAGCAGCGCGTTTCGAAATCGCGCCGTGTCGTCTCGTACGCGCCAACACGCTGGCATAAATCTTGCTCGATAAGTCGTCGTCTGATTTTCGTACGGATAAAGGGTTCGAAGCTCTCCGGCAATCGTTCGGCGAGATACGAAACGAGCCAGGTTATGGTTGCAATGGACGCGTGTTCTGACGAATCTGTGTGTCGTTTTGGCACGGATCGAGACTTGTGTCTTGTAGATACGAAATACAAGTTAGCTAGTGTACTTGGATATCGTTAAACTATTTTTTTTTTTTTTTTTTTTTTTTAGGAGTTTTAAACTTTCTATAAGATATAGTATCATTGAGATTTACTCGTTCAGAGGTTCAAAGAATGTCTGAATTTTTACATCCGTTTTAATTTTGCCGTCATTGAGAAAACTTTAAACGAAAGTTTCTTTTGCGTGTATTTCGTTCAAACAGATTCTGAAGATGCTTGTCATTGTTCAAAAAAGAAAAAAAAAAATAGTACATAATAGGGATAAGAATGAATATATTCTCGTTTTGTCATATTATTTCCGTTCGATATTACACTTTTGGATTTTTGGTAGTTTTAGCGAATATCGGTTCTAGAACGATCATTCATCAGAACATGGATCCTCCTCTGAGAAATCTTAGGACGAGTGTGATATTTGTTTCAAACATTGGAAAAACGAACTAATACATTATACAACGACGAATCACGTGCAGTTTGAAACTGTTACTATCTACAGTAAATACTGATTGTCAAAAATTGAAAATTTCGAGCGTGAGTGTACGTTCGATCTCCAAGCCCGTGGCCGTCGGACGCTCGACGTGTTCGTAACGCTTCGCTTTAAAGTAAGCTTTAAACTGCTCGAGGTCTGCTTGATTTACGACTGTGGACGAAACAGGAATATGTATTAAAATGTGTGAGCAGACTTTAACAACGCCTCTAATTTGGATGGTTGGGAGTTTGATTCTGTCAAGTGTGAACATTTTCTTCGGTTGTTCAGTACATTGTGTTAGGTCGAAGATTTTATGTTTACAGAGGTTTCTGATGTAATTTATATTGCGATACGAGGAAAATTACGAATATAATTTTGAGAGTTATTTGAAATATATTCAAAGCTCCATTAATAAGATCGGGAGCCGTTTTCAATTTCAATCATCGACTTGCAAGTACGTATCGATAAAAAAACACAAGACGCAGGAGACGGAAATCCGACGATTTAGCAAAAGTAAACTCACTCGCTAATAACTACACCTCGGTATCAAGATATCCAGCCCTTTTCTCGCTCACTTTGTCTCAATTCCCAAAACACCCCCCCCCCCACCCCCAGAAAGCCGCGACCTCGCTCATCCTCCTCGCTCCGCGCGAAGTCACGAACGAAGTCCTCTGTTGCCCAGTGGCCCCGCTGGATTTAAAAGTCATCGGGATTTAAGCACTCAATCGAGCAACCACCTCGAGGAAAGGAACAAAAGGAATGAAAAAAAGAGAAAGAAAAGAGAATCCGGAGGAAACGAGAAGGAGGAGAGTATCAGAACGGTAGTATCAGATAGCTGAAGTGAATGAAATCGACGCGATCGATTCGTTATGCGGTTCCTGTGAGTAATGCGTTCCGAGAAACAGGACAATGTGTCTTGGAACGAAAATAAAGGCTTAGACCCCCAGAGGAAGACAATCGGCGTTGCTGGTGCGCGCGCGCGCTCTCTTTCCCTTGGGTTAGCTGCGGTTCGGTAGATATACCCCAGAGGGTATATCTGCCTTCTCCGGGGCCTTATACGGGCCATTATCCGATCGTGGAATTTGAGATCTGGCCCTTTCAGCCGCGCGTCAAATTATCCCTGAGCACAATGCGCTCGTTGATTGATATCTTCAGTCGTACATAGCTGCTGTAACGTGGCCTGGCCCGCGTTCGTTCCTCCGTTCGTTCGTTCGTTCGTTCGTTCGTTCATTCGTTCGCCTTCTTTTGGCCTCCTCGCCACCTCTTTCTCCGTCTCTCTCTCTCTCTTTCTCTTTCTCTCTCTTCCTTTCGTTCGTTTCTTCTCGCTTTGGTCGCCTGGTTGTTCCATCCAGCAGCGGTTCACGCTCCGTCCTCGTCTCGAATCGAGTCGCCGCGCCGTTTGATTTCCTCGTGTTCGTTTTCTTTTTTTTTTTTTTTTTTAAGGCCGGACCCGTACAAAGCGAGCGCCGAATATTTCTAGCCGCGGACCCACGCAGCCTTTCTACTTGATTTATTCTAAAACCTCTGGCTTTCTTCGGGCCAGGCCACTCCCGACCCTAAGCCAGAGCCGCGGGAACGAATCCTCTTACGAAACTTTTCGATTACGTTCACCC